TCTTTCATATACGAAACTATTTCTAGGATTGCATATATTCAGGATGAAAAATTTATGCAGTCTTTGAAATACGAGTATACAAAGACGGACAGAGTGAAACTAATAAGCACTTTTTTCAAAAATTTTTGGAAAAGTGCTTAAAAGATGAAATTTGAAGCACAAATGGAAATATTTACTAAAAACTGATTTCTGTAGTACTTTAGACTTCATACTAGATGGAAAGATGGTGACGTCTGAAATTTTAGCAGCTTCTAAATACTAATAAATTGTGTAATGTCGTGTCTCAAAATTTATAAAATTTGAATTTCCCACTTCTTACATATCCGAACATGGAAGCTTTTTCAAATCTCTATAGAATCAGGAAGTTAACAGTGAATTCCACATCATCAAAAAAATATCATTATTTATTATAACTCGCTTAGTTAACCTTCGAATTCACTTTCTTCTTTCTTTTTTTTTCTTGCTCATCCTGTATATATGCAGTCATTTAATATATTCTTCGTATTCAGGAAGTACAAAATTTAAAAAACCAGTAGATATTTCGAAATTTTAGAAAGTCTTCTGTTTCTTAAAATTTACATTTTGTAAAAAAAGTGCTTTTAAAAGTTAACAATGTATTTGGTCTCCGAAAATAAACACTTTTCTTCTATATTGCATAACAGTCCAAAATATATGTATAAAGAATTGAAAATTTAATTCCGGTTAATTTGTTAAATGAAATATCACTTGTTAGATATTAACAATAATTTTTTAACTCATATTAATGTTTTCTAGCTTATTTAATAAAAAATGGATTTCATTTTTACCGTTTAAGCCTATAACTTCTGTTTTTTAATCCGTATAGTTTTATGCATGAAATTAGTGAAAATGTTCTTTCGAGATAAGAAATTCTTTTTTACAATCTAACTCACCATACATTTAGGAGAAATTACAAATAAAATGCTCACCGATCTCTTTTAATTATTGTCAAAATTTTAAATTTCCGAATTTCAGTTTTGTTTATTAAATGATGTAGAGAAATTGCGAAGAGACAGACAGATAAAGTAAGCCCAGTTTTCAATCACCTTATTAATAATTTAGTGCCTGATCGAGAGTATTGACTTTTTTGTACATATATAGATACACAAATTCAATTAATATTCATATAATGTATTAGATTACAAAATATGACTATATAATGTAGTCATAAATAAAATAAGATTATTTAAAGTGAACCATTTCAAAACGAAATTGACACAAAGACACTATGAAAATGTCTTTGTGTCAATTTAATTATGAAATGAAAAAAAATTAAATAACTTTAATTAAAAACCTTACGAAAGACATAATTTATAGCAAATATATTTCGTAATAAATTAATATAGAGGAAAATGGTTTATTAGAATCGAATAATTCTAAAAAATTTAATATATCAAAAAAATAAAAATGTTTGCGGTTATAAAACTAAAATGTAGGTGGTTATAAAAATACATTTCAGAATACTAAGTTTCGAAAATGCCAACTGATAATTTGTTCTTAGCTCTTGAATTTCTGTAAATTGTTAGAAATTATTTACATTTTATAAAGGATCTTATTTACCTGACAAAACATACATATTTGTAAAATATGGTACATATTTATGTACTTATGTATTTTTGATTTATAATTTTAAAAATTCAAACCATTAAGAATTAGAATTACTTATTCTATTTATATTTATTCTATTATTATTCATATCATTTATTTTACGTTGATTACCAGCTCAAATTTATTCATAAAGTAAGTTAACAAACTAGATAATATAAAGAACTTCAAAATATAATGTTAAAACCCAAGTTACGAGTATAGTGATAAAATACTCAAAAAAGGAAGATCTTGAGATTAATTTATTTAGAATTTGTTTAAAATTCTTTAAGTCACAATAACACGACCCAAATCATTAATTACCAGATTATACGGAAGTGACAAATTTGTAAGCAAGGGATCAAACCTAATGAAAAATTGTTATTGAGTTTGGAAAACCTATACAAATGGCGAAAAGTATAGAATGTCAAAGCTTTTAAATAAAGGCAGGGTATCCTTGAAGGATCGACCGATATTTCCTTGTTATAATTCTTGCAAATGTTTTTTTGAGCAACAAGAAGAGGATAACATTTATTAAATTAATCACCTCCAATTAATTTTACTAAACTAGTCATCTCCAATTAAGTTTCTAAAAGTTATAGCGAACACCTCGTACTGTTTAAATGATAAGCTTGGCTTATGACATTTTGGAAACAAGTTTTAGGATAATTGCAATGTGCATTACCACCAAAAATACCCGAATATATAAATTTATCAACAATTTTATTTTAAAACAGATAATGTCATAGGGAGAAGAGTAGTGAAATAAAATATAGGAAATATGACTTAAAATAAACCTAGATCAAACAGACGGTTTGAAAAGTCGCACCGTTTCCTTTAAAAATTGATAATACTGCTCTTAAAAACAATTTACATTTAAACTTTATTTCATTGATACGAGTATACAAAAGTATAAAGAACTTAGCAAAAAAATATAAGAATTGTTAACATAGTGGTTCAATTTAATTGTTACTTATTTAAGGAAAAGGTAAATAACTTCATTTTTCATGGCATGACTTTATTTTTATTTTTATCGAAGTTTCAAAAAGTTAACAGTTTCGGATATACGAGTATAAAGCGCTAAAAATTGAAATTTTACCAATTTCGAGAGGTCAAAACTTAGAATGGAGGGTGAAAAGATATTTTCTTTTAGCAAAACAAACTATTTACCAGCTTCTAAAACCTGCTACAGCTTTAGACTTCTACAACTACAAAAAAACGGGACGAAAAACCGGATTAAAGCAGAAAATCTGCTGCAATTTGGGACATATGAAACAATTTTAAAATTTAAATAAGGTTGGGTTAAACCAATGGTTTGTATTGTAGCACTTTTCCCTTCAACAAGTGAAAATACTGCTTTCAAATACAGTCTATGTATACCTACCGCATTACTAAAATTATTTTCATTGAAATACAAAACTATTTATAGGATTGCATATATTTAGGATGAACGATTTATGCATTCTTTGAAATAAAGCAGCAATAACTTTAAAGAAGGGTAATGCTCGATATAATTATGTTTTTTAATTGCATGAAATTTACCGTTAGCTTTCAGCGTTTATTCAAATTTGAAAAAACTTGTGCTTGCGGAAATAAAGGATGCCAAATATTCAAATTTTACAAATTTCAAGAGCTTATAATTTGAGATGGGTCGGAGTTAGCAAAAAAAAATCCAGGAATTTCTTCTAACGAAATAATATATTTATGAATATCTAAGAGCTGCTAAAATTTCAGACTCCTGTAAAGTACGGTGTAGAAGAGAAACGGTATTAAAAATTTGGAAAAAACGGCTTTTAATAGTGGTAAATTTTAACGGTCATTTTGTTTTTTTAAAGTTCAAAAATGGTATGCTGCAATAGAGGAAGCCTGCCACTATTTTTCTGCTTTTAAATAATTTGAAAAATGCTTATGGTTTCACTGCAATAAATGGTTAAAATATACCATTTTTAGAGTATTAAGGGGGTAGAACCTTTAGAGGGGGAGAGATAGGTGAAAATTTTGTTCTACGGAAATAAATTTCTAGTAAAGATTATATAAAATTTTAGCTTTCTATCTTCAGAGATGTAGAAGGTTTGTAAACAGACACACGGACGGACGGACGAACGGACAGACGGACAGAGTGAAATGAGCACTTTTTTTCAAAAATTTTTTTGGAAAAGTGCTAAAAAAATGATCAACAAAACCCAAACCAATTGACTTAGCACCATTTTATTTTTGTATTTGTAAATTTTAACTGTGTACATATTGTAGATTTGTAGATTTGTACAACGAGAGCAACAGCGCACTGAGACCACGCATAAGGATCTATTGTGCGCTACCACCCGAGAACGGGGCATGCCCTACAACACACGCTCGTAATCCTCCTTCCTGATGAACTCAAGCAACTTGTGAGGACCAGAAAAATGTAACTCCGCCACTGTTAGAGCAAAGCCCACCAGCACCTCCCCCCTTCCTATGAACAAGAGCATCACACTTTCCCAGGAGGCACACATCTCAAATATGTATACATATTGTATTTATACATATATATTAAAAGTTAAGAGATCAAGCCTGTTATCTGTACAGTCTTATATGCAAATATCATATATAAAATCTGATGCACAGAAATACTACAGAATATTTTAATTATTGTATTTAATTTATTAATATTGTGCATTTATTGTATTTAATTTATTAATATTGTGCACGTATATTTTGAAAAAAAAAATTATGTATGTACAGCATCCGTGTGTACAGGATTTATCGTCATTTAATATTGTGCTTCTTATTTAGTTTTTTCAGTTTTGTTATTTATATCTCTTTTTTTAGACTAACACAAAATTTAGATATTATTACGTTTTACACACACACACACAAAAAAATATAAGCAATCATTAAAAATAGTAAAGCAGAACTATCGAAAAAAATAAAGAGTTTTAAAATCGAAAAACAAAAAATCTTTCACTTGTATGTAAAAACAAAAAATGCATGTGAAATGAATATCCCAAGTTAAAAAACACTTAATTAAAACAATTTTGTTCAAAAATTTTGAAATAAAGAACGGGAACCTAAGCTTATACTGGAAAAAATATTTTTTTGGACTTAACATAATGAGTTTATATTATAAAGCATTTCACTATTCTTTATTATACAATTTTTTAATTGGTACAAAATCATGAAGTTGAATTCGAAATATATTTAATGTTTGGTTTTTAAGTTTTAATTTAAAAAAAAAATTATTATGATTTTTTACAATGATTAGACTAATTTTAAAAACTAAAAAAAAAATGTTAAAAAATATATTAATAATATTCATAAACTCCTAAAATTAATACATAAAATAAAATAAAAATTAAGAAAATTAAAAATAAAAACTAAAAATTAAGAAAAAAATATTTTAAAACTAAAATTTCTCAATACATTTTTATTAGGAATTTAATTTTAATTGAAAACTAAATAATTTTTCTGAATATAATGGTTTTTTCTTAAATACTTATTTAATATAAAAAACTAAAAAAACTAATAAAGCAGAAATCGAATAAAATCATTGTTGAGATCTTTTTTATTTCGTTACAAAAAAAAAATTAAAATAACAGTATAATACATTCTTTATGCACTTGTATATAAACATACATTGCATGTCATTATTGGTTACGTTCTATACATACCTCCATAAGTTTAATATGGTCGAATATCATACCCTTTTGCGTAAAGAAATTTTTACCATATTTATTTCTTAATGTGAATTATTATTTTCAAATTAAAATTGTGAACATGAAAAATAATTAAAAAAAAAAATTAAAAACGCTCAACGAAAAAAAATTAAAATAAAAAAAATTAAGTTAAAATTTATGATTTGCACGTAAAATTTTAAATCAAATTAATATAATAAAATAATTGAAATAATTGATTAAAAAGAAAAATAGTATCAAATTATAAATGTTTTTAACAAATAAAATATATATAATAAATTTAAAATGAAATAACACATTTACAAAAAAAAAAACAAAAAATTATATTTAGAATTGTCAAAAGAGTTTAAATAAATTGCATTTACTAGCATAAAGAAAAAGTGACTTAATTCTAAATTTAAATAATCAAAAACGATTAAAACAAAAAAAAATTTGTTACACATACGTTCATACCATAGTGGTTTTAAGAGAACTTTTAAAAAAATTAGGAGAAAAAGGATTATATAAAGGTATTAAACATATTTAACAAAAAAGAATTTCTAATGTATTATGAATTTACAACTAAATAATATGGAAAATTTTTAAATATTAAATTGTAAATAATTTCTTTTTAATTTATACACATATTTAAATATATAATATATACATAAATATAATAAAAATCAGTTAATCAATCATTCTTTTAATTTTAATGTATGACATTTTCAACCTCATTCCGCTACCAATCAAAGAGTCGATGCAAAAAATGACTACATTACTTTACGTTAACTTACCTATTTTATCAAGCATGTGATTATAGCACTAAAACTTTCACAAATTGTTTATTTTTTTTCCAGTACGCTTGCTATTATAATCGGATTTATTCTAACAACAAGTTCGAGTAACTGTCATAAAAGTCCAAAACCTAATTGGGAATATTTTACAAAGAAAAAAAATTGATATAATTACCGACCGTATTGTGTAAACAATAGGTAGGTTATGTGATGGCAACAAATTTTGCATATCGAGTTTTCGGTGGGAACGTACTTCTCCATAGTAGGGAAGTGTAAATAAACGATTTTTAGCAACCTGTCGGTCTGTCCGTCTGTCGGTCTGTGTGTGCACGCGTGTATCTCAAGTTCGGCTGAACCGATTTTGATGAAATTTTATATGTAAGTTTGTTTCCACCATGGCACGGATCGATCTTTTGGTATATATCAGGCCTCGGGAACTGCACCTTTTAGCGGGCCTGTTTTACATTTTTTGAAGAAAATATTCAACCATAATCTAAAAATATTAATCATAATCAGGTATATTAAATCATAATCTGATAAGAAATTTCTTTGCAAGGCCAGTTTATCTGTGATCTTAAGATCACAGGCATCTTAGTGATGAAATGTTATGGTGATGAAATTCAATAATGATGAATTGCTATAATGTTGAAATGTGCAATGATGAACTGCTATAATGATGAAATGTTACAATGATGAAATGTCTCGTATGATGAGATGTCAGGGAATCATTTACAACACTTCTATAACCTTGAAGATAAAAAGCTGAAATTGAATGTGAACATAGATCTTTACTAGAAACTTATTTTCGTAGAATTTTTACCTATCTCCCCCCCCCCCCCCCTCTAGAATTTATACCCCCCTAAAACAATAAAAAATACCATTTTTAACCATTTGTTGCAGTGGAACCATAAGCATTTTTCAAATTTTGCAAACACAGAAAGACAGTGGCTTGCTTCTCCTATAGCGGCATACTATAGCTAAAATTTAAAGAAACAAAATAGCCGTTCAAATTTACCGTTACCTAAAATCCGTTTGCTCAAAATTTTTGACCGCAGGTTGTGAGAGCCTCAAACTTTAACAGCTTTTAGACACTAACAAATAGTTCATTTCGTTGGAAGAAAATTTTTTTCCATCTCCACCCCTTCTAAAGTTATCGCCTCTTGAAATTTGTAAAATTTGAGTTTTTGGCGCCTTATATTTCCGAAACCGCAAGCTTTTAGAAATTTCTACAAACGCAAAAAGCTAATGGTAAATTCCATGACATTAAGAAATATAATTATTTTTCTTAACTCACACAACTAACCCTTAAAATCGAGCATGTTCACCCCTCTTCAAATTAATTTTTGCTTTATTTCAAAGACTGCATAAATTTTTCATCCGGAATATATGCAATCTTAGAAATAGTTTCGTTTAGAAATGAAAATAATTTTAATAGTGCGGCAGGTATACATAAATGGTATTTAAAAGCAGTATTTTCAATTGTTGAAGGGAAAAGTGCTACAGTACAAACAATTTGTTTGACCCAACTTTATTAAGAATAACATAATGAAAATTATAATATATGTATATGAAAATATTCAAGTAACTACAAAAAGCAGTAAAATTACAATTTCTGACTTGAACCAGTATTCCTTTTAAAAAACTGAAAAATAGAAATTTTCCATAAAAAAAATTATAAAAAGAGTTCTTATGTGTGCGTATATTTATGAAAAATACAAACACAAATACAAATTTATTTGTTAGAAATAAACTTCACCACGTACTAAAAATAATAATTTTTTTTAATATTGTTTTTTTTTTATAATAAAAAAATTATTCAAAAATTTTAGAAAAATTTAAAAATTTTTTATGTGATTTAATTTTTAACCCTTTTTTCCAAAAGAAGACTATGCTTTTTTTTATTATTAAAAGTACTGACTGTGTTAATATGCATGCATTTTGTCATGCTGTAGACACTGACACATAGATATTCGTTTTTTGTGAACAAAACAAATTATTTACAAATCGAAAAGATTTCTTATTAAAAGTAGCGAATAAAATTAATAAAGTTAGTTTAAACTTTAAATGGTTTGTAAAGCAACAATTTTCCAAGTGAGAATACTACTTTTAAAAAAACTAGATGCGTTAAGATAATGCTCGAAGTCAAAGGTTGATTACATCATTTATTGTTAGCTTTAATTTATAGAAATTTGAAAAAGATTAAAGTTTCGGAAGTATATGCCAAAAATGCGAGGGGGTGAAGTTTGGAAGAAATTTTTTTAAAGTTTCAGACTTTTACAACTGTTTTATAGAAGAAAACCGATATCAAAAATTTTAAAAAGAACGGGCTTTAGGTAACGGTTAATTTTAGCACACTTGTTTTAATATGAGGGTAAATCCACTGAAGATGCGATTTTAAAACTTTGTTCAGAATTATACTCCAGTTTAAATAATAGCAATAACACTGCAGCTCTATTTATTGATATAAAAAAGGCTTTTGACATCATTAACCCTGAAATTCTTTTAGATAAATTAGAAGCTGCTGGTTGTAGAGAAAATATTTTAAGATTCTTGGGCTCTTAGCTGGAGGATAGAATACAAAGAGTGAAAGTAGATAAATTTCGCAGTGGTCGAGCTTATTTAAATATAGAGGTGCCTCAAGGCTCCGTTTTGGGACCGCTACTTTTTTTAATTTACATCAACTCACTATTTTTGCAGCCCTTCAGGGGGAAAATCACGGGATTCGCGGATGATTGTTCTATTTCTTATAGTGAAAAAACTACATTTTCCCTAAAGGAAAATATAGATTAGGATTTAAAGTTATTTAAAAGATGATTTTTCTTACATAAACTTATAATAAGTAGTAAAACTAAACTTATGATATTCCAACTGAGGCATTCTCGTAATGAGAATCTAAATTTTCAATTTCACGCTGCTGATTGCCAGAATTCCATATGCGAAAAATGTGATCTTACATCTATGTCATCAATTAACGATTGTTCGAGGAATTGCTTTGGTATTGAAATAGTAGATAATTATAAATATTTAGGAATAACTATATACAACAATTTGAACTGGAAAGCTCATATTAATAATATTCATAAATATTTGTTATTATGCATCCGTAAATTCTTTGTACTTAGGAACTTTTGTTCTAAAAGCTTATATAATTAAATTTCACTATGCGGTGGTCCAATCCAAACTGCAATATGGGATTTTAGGTTTGGGAGGAACATATTTTAACACAATAGAAACCATTGTAATTGCTCAAAAAAACGTTATGAAAATTATCTACCATAAAACTAAAACATATAGTAGTTGGTCATTATTCCAGGAATCGTTTGTACTCCCGCTTAGACATCTCTATGCTTATAAATATTTTAAAAATATTTTTAAATCAGGAACTTCATTACGTATACGTTGTTGCAATTATTATAATCTTAGAACAAAAAAACTTAATCTAGCTAGTATTCCATTTAAATCGAAAACTCATTATAAAAAATTCTTTGAAATTTGAGCGCCAATTTATTTTAATAATCTTCCTCTTCACATTAGAAATGAAACTGTTTCTCATAAATATTTAAAATTATGCAAAGCTTGGCTATTATCAATTAATTATTACGACTTTGAAAAACTTAATTAATTGTGGAATTTACTTGTTGTTGGTAATGGAAATTTTCCTAAAGTATTCTGCAAATAAATTCATTCCGTGAACGTTTCCTTTTCACTCTTTGTATTTCTTCTCTTATTCTTTTCAATTTTGAAAAGTTATATTGGGCTGAAAAAACTCAGAAGAGGGAAAGTCCTCGGGTCACTTCATTAATTTGAAATGACCTATGAGATAATTTAAATAAAGATTTAAAATTCTGATTTTTAATAATTTTAGATGCGCCTAACATAACACCTACAAATTGCTTGGGGGATGTCGCGGTGGTTTACAATAAAAAATTTATCAAATCAATTAGTATTCATGGCAGATCTGTTGTTGATATAAGACCCGACATTGATAAAGGGTTCTTACCTTCTGCACAGCACTTTTTCGAACAAAATCCTGCTGTCAGTTGGAAAACATATTATTAAATGCTGATAATCTTCAGTTGTCTTTCCTTAAACCTGTGGACATTCCTCCTCAAGCTTCCTCAAAAAAAAATTATAATGCAGTATCATTTCACTATAAAGAAGAATCCAGCTCTTCAGAGATAAATGATTATAATGTCTTGTCAGAAAACTATGATAGAATTAGTCCTGCAATGCTCAAAATTCCATATTTCGTTGTTAAAATGCATTGGAAAGAATTAGTGATAAAGAAAATATTACCCTTTTTAAAGAACGTATTGCTAAGAAGTACTTTAAATGCGACTATCAAACTTTGTGAAGAATAAAGAAATTTAGCAAATGATATTAAATTACTTATGTTGTTCTTTCTATCCAATGTGTAAATGCATGTTTAAAAAATAGTATCTGATTTGTTATGTAAGAATAGATATATAAAAATTGATATAAATATAAAAAAAAAATTTTTCTTAAATCCCACATTTACTTTTTACTATCTATATATAAATTGTATTAAGATACAGCTATGGAACACTAGTGAATTTCTCACTACTGCATAGTTTATATTTTTGTTTTGTATTTTATTTTAATTTTCATTCAGATTTTAATATTTTGTGTAACAATATAATATTGTGTAATTTTAAATTTTGTATTAATTAAGTTTTGAAATAATTATAAGTTAATAATAAATTGTTATATTATAG